GACTAAGTATTAATTACTTGTAATAAGGCTACCTCCAACTTGACAAAGGTAAGTCTTGATGAACCAGTTAACATGTGAATCAAGACTGAGTATTAATTACTTGTAATAAGGCTACCTCCAACTTGAGAAAGTCCACCACTTATCTAAGCAGAAGTGTCAATCTCTGTGAAGAAAAAAAGCCATGATAAAATGAATAAATCATTCTGACAAAGATAAAGTCAGCTGATATAAGCCTAAAATGAAGACCTCAGGGCTAGGGGAGAATGGCTTCAAGAAGAGAACAGAAAAACTTCCAAAAATTTAGAAGGAATTAGAGAATATACTTACACAGCTGTTTATATTCAATATTCAGAACTAGACAAAAAGATAGTGAGGCTGTCAGTTCAACATCCAATAATAATATTCACACTGTATGTTTTTGAATTTGTTCATTTGTCTGCAAATTTTTCCCACAGTTTGGGAGCCAGCAGGACCACACTTGGCAAGTGGACTCGCGATAGTCTGAGAGATGTCCTTATCTACATAGCATAGTCCTCCCACCCCTACCAAGGTGAATTAAAACGCACGCAGAAGGTAACCCAGGCATGATAGGGGGGGTCTAAAAGTAGGTTTTCAGGATTGCTGTGCTCGACTATGGCATTTTGTGTTCCTGGCCACCCTTAAAATCATGGGTGCTCCATACTCATACCCCAACTCACAAGCTATCAGAACCAAGTGTGGTACACACACTCAGGATCGGAGGGTATTCAAAAGCAGTTTGTTTTGGGGTACATATCCCCCTTAGGGTAGTTATAGAAGCACTTGAGGATAATGGAGGAACTCCATCAGTACATTGGGATCTGTGAATCATGAGAGGGCCTTTGTGTCCTACAGCATAGTTCAGGTTTTTATGCAAGGAAAAATAATACATGACAATATATTATTTTTCAATGTTTACGTGTATTTTATACATTCAGCTAGACTGCATGATAGCTGGGTTTAATATTGTTAGGTGTAGTAAGGCCAGCAGATATATGACTATACATGTATGATGTAGTAGCTGAACTTCTAGTGAGTTCAGTATTTTTTTCAAAAATTTCAGAAAGTTGTCTTAGCATATGGCTTATAGTTTACAAAGGTAGCTATTTTTACTTATGAAGTGAGCAACAACAAAAAAATAACTCCTGTCTTAATACTGTGTGGGATTAGTGATAGTCTGTATAAGCCTAAAGACCTTTTTCAGTCCAGGTTTTTTGATAATAAGGACTAAGACCACACATTTTATATTAAGGTTTCAAAGCAGTGACAGCACCAACCCTAATTTGGCATCTGCAACATGTGTGCTGTATTACTGACAGTTTTTTAAATTTATTTCTACGTTTATTTTATAAATATTTTGCAAATACTCCAAGCAGGAAATTTCTAACTAACACGACTCTGAAGCCTCATTTTAAGGTTTGATACCATTACACCACGTGTTATGTTACAACCACCTCAGGGGAATTTATATGAGCTTTTAAACAAAGACAAGCCAAATGATGGCATGAAACAAAGAATAACATTAATCAAATATGACTTGATAGTATGACCAATAATAAGTAACTCTGCAGCTGACACATTAGAAGAGACCCAACCTAATGTAATGGCATAACTAGGTCTCCAATGGCTCTACAGCAAAACTTTCATTGTCCCAACCCCCAGTTAAAACTTCTTCTGTGTTTCAGAATATTTTCCCCTCAATTTCAATATTAAAAATTAGAAATTTCTGTTTTGAGGGGGCCTCTTCACAGCCCGTTACTATACCATTGCCATGTAGAGCATTCTAGCACACATTGAAATTGCTGATTGGCTAGTTTCTTGAGTCTGTTAAAGAGTGATACCTGGAAAAAAAGATGAGGGTAACATGGTCAATATCTACCAATGAATAGCTTTGTGTACTTTAGATTTCAAATCTAAATTACTTGGCAATGCATGCTTAATAATAAACTAATTACAACCGAGGTATAATTGAGTGCTTCAGTAAACGGATAAATAAAATTAAGGAAACATGCTTCTGAATCCAGGAACAGAAACCATACTTAACAATTTTAAAACACATTTACTGTTAAGCATACTAATAAAATGGTTCAATTTTAACAGAACTTATGAAAATTATTTACCCCAGATAAAATCAACTACAACTGGTATATGCTGTTTTTGCTGATCAATTTTACCTGTTAATTGTATTTTTATGTTAAAGATTTATTTATTTTTCACCAGAAGTGAAATTGAAAAGAAAATCTGTAATATAGAGGCTTAATCCATTCCCTCTGCTGTGGACTGATGAAGTAAAACAGACCATAAAACCCCATTTATATATTTACCTGTTAATTGTTTTTTGAGCTCTTCAACACAATTGTGGTTAAACTTTTTCATGAACGGAACCTGTAAACCACAATCTTTTTGGCATGTTACCAGCCTATACTTGCAATCAGTGAATTGGTGACGTTCAAGTTTCTTCCTTTTCATTTTTTTTCGACAATCAGGGTTTGAACATTCTACCATCTCATAATTACAGACTTTCTTATGCATCAAGTAGTTATCAAGTGTAATTTTCTGATTACAACCTTGAGTAAAATTTGGACATTTTATGGTCAGCTTTGATATCATATTTGTCACAATAGGCACAACTGGTTTGATATCAAAAAAATATGTTTTCTTTCTGCAAATTGGGCACGTTTTGCGGATATCTAGCCACGAGCTGATACAAGACCGACAGAAAACGTGACGACAAGAGCATTCCACTGGATCACAGTAAACATTTTGGCAAATACTACATAAAAGTTCATCATCTGGGGCTGGATCAAAGTTCTCTAGACTGTAAACTGATTTTGGTAATGACATACTCCTGTTTTAACAGATAAACTGAAAAAAAAAAGAAAAGAGGGATTACTGTTAAGCAAAGTTCCATAAGATCTTGATGTCATATAACTTAAAAGAATTTATAACTACCTTAAAATACTTTAAAAATCTTTTGAAATTAATAACCTTTAAAACTAAGATCAAGAAGTGTAAGCACATTTTATATAAATATAATTATGACCTAAATGGAATGGATTAACAAACAAAATTAAATATTTTTAAGGAAGTTGTAAGTAAACTAAATTTGGAAACAAAGTGTTTACAGGTAATCCCAATAACATTTATTGAGGTTTGACCAACCAGTTTGGGAAATGGAATTTAAATTTTGTAAATACAGACACCTAACCAAACAATAGAAAGTACATGTACTCTTTTTAAACTTCACATATCATTATCACTGAACTAGTGGTTATTGCTAACTTTTTTATGCAATATTGTTTATATTTTATTAAATTTTTTTAGATGATTTTGTTCTGTCAAATGGTTTGTTTGTCAAACAAATTTTTCTAGCAGAGCAACAACTCGTACTAAATACCTTTATCGGTGGTTATAATCCTACAAACAGTGTAACAAAATATTTATTCTTCTTATATAAATTCACTTTTTTCTATTTAAATACTTCATGTTCTTCTACTACAAAATTAGAGAACAAAGATATAAATTTTCTTCAGACAATTTCCTGTCTTAGAATTATATTTACCATCATCTGAACAAGTACAGATTTAGTTACCTCCTTTTAATTAGTATCTAGACTTCTCTGAAATGCCAGCTTTTGAATGCATCAAAATTACCAAATTCTCATTAAAAGAACATAAATATATATAGACGTATCTAATGTGTACTGTTCCCTTAATGGTCAAATCCCTCTTTCTCTCTCTTTTATTTTCTTTTAGACATCAACTTTACATCTTCTTCAAGTATGGTACTATTTTTGGTAAAAAAAAGTCAACCAATACAGTTAGCATTAACCTGAAACTTAAAGTACATTTATAGTGAGTATATCTATTTAAACTACATGACCTAGTTTAAAGTTACAAAGAATTAGCATGTACTCAAAATGAAAATGCTTTGAGCAGAATACCTATTAACCTATTATCAATATTCTCCAAAACTAATAAGGTTTTAATAATTTCCATTATATCATTGTCAACTAGAGCCCTGAACTCATCTTTTTTTAACCTTGGGACATTAGATTAATAGCAACAAAGTTTATTCTTGATATTACTAAGTTTATCCTTGTACCTGACAGAGTTATCTTAAACTATTATTTAACTTATGCTTTGAATCTCTTTCTTTTGAAACTTTTTAACCTGGCTATCCTATCAATGTTTATTCCCAATTTGCCGAGCTCTCTCAACATTAAATTTAGTTTAAAACTAAATAATTTGTAATTATTTTTGAACTTTTCCAAATATCTTTGTACTAGTACTACTTAACCTGATTAAGTGAAGCCTATCTCTAGCATGTAATTGTAATTCACCCCTACTTTTGAAAACTATTCAGATTCATCAACCCACCTGTTGCTTTATCCATTTCTCAAATCTTTTCTTGTCTCCTTAATTTCTAATTTTTCTGCCCCAACCTACTATTTTTGCTCTCTATGATCTATTAATATTAATACTAGTATTAGTAATATCAGTAAAGTCAGAAGCTCTGCAACTTGCAAGTGTAGTGTATCGTGTCTTTTCGTAAGCCTATTAAAAGTGAAACTATATTATATATTGTCAAAACGATAAGTTTTAAAATATAATGCACACAAATGGTGATGCTCAATACATCACTTCAATGTGTCCATAAAATTTACCTTATTTATCTGAAAAGCGCCTGTTTTATATCTTCTTTCGGACACAATGATAGCACATAATACTGCTACATAGGTCTAACAACTTACACGTTCAGTTACGTGATACTAGATTTTGGTGGTAAAATTATTTAACGAGCAGATTTGCCCTAACCATCACAATATCCACAGATGGCGTTAAATATTGCATGTTATTTATACGTAAATAAATATTACGTTAGTTTCGTAGCAAATGAGACTTGTTATTTTTACAATTTAAAGTTTTAAATGATAACAACTCACAATTAAATAGTTTCACATCTGTTAAATGAGTATGTCAATAGCTATAGAGCGTCAAGACCAATAATATATTTACATTACTTTTGAAATTTGAACTTTCTATATCTTTCTTTTTCATATATAATATATTAAAGGTTATTATTATGTATGACAAAGCTTTCATTCTTTGTATTTTAGCGCAAACCTCCATAATGGACTACTTAAGTTCTGTCCATTGCGAAGAATCGAACCTTGGATCTTAGCGTTATAATCCTTCAGACTTACCGCTGAGCCACCGAGGCGAAAGTTTAAACGACCCGGCATCAAGAGTTGTCTAATATTCTAAAGAAATGTAGAATGTAATGTTTTTCTAACTTTTTGAATGTAGTGTTGCTGCTCATACATATATTGTTTTAAGAATCTAAAATATGTGTTAAAAGCTAGTGTGTCACTCTTTTAAAAAACCAGAACTGCATAATCCAGAAACTTGCTGCTGACCCACCTGGCGACTATTTCAAAGCTACTAAAACTATCTATTGCTGTCTTCAATTTTGAGCTACTAGACAGAGGAGAGACAAACCAGCCAGCAGCATCCTACCACCCACGCTAAGGGATTGGCTGTCACTCGTATAATGCACCCGCAGCAGTGTATGGAATATTTTGTAGTATCCACGAATTCAAATTCTATTTCGTAGCTCAGAAATACAGAGCTCTCTACCATAGGGCCAACGATCGCCAATTCTAAAAGTATGAAATAACAGTGTTCAAAATTGGTAAAACACACGTTTATGACAAAAACTTTATATTTATTTGCAACGTTTCGGACAAAAGCCCTTCCCCAGGCAGTTTAAACCGTGTTACACAGAAAAAATGCTTAGACAGAATCATTGAAGGGTTGGAATATAAGAGATATTCTAAATTACGTACGTACTGCCTGGAGCACGTTGTTGCGTCAGCGAGTCACATACCAGCCTAACCTACTAGTAAATACTAGAGCATTCGCCAAAGTACATGATAATTCTAGAAACGTTGCGTCACGTGGTCTTGTTACGTCTCCGTTTGTTAATTAACTTTCCGTAACTTCGTTCCGACGAAATTTTAACGACACAAGTCTTTACTTAATAAAACTGGTTTATTCTTTCCGAATATAACTTTACCGATACACTGAACTTCAACAATCGCGCTAAACAAACGCTATAGCAACGAACGTCAATAATACTCTGACCGCAGATCAATTACTCACTATCTACACACACATTACAAATCCTTTCCGCGTCACGTTTTCCCCTCTTATATATATGCAAAACCTGTTTAGAACTAAAGAGGTTGTTAACTGCCTCTACTGTGACCTTCGGTCACTAAACTCCTATACTTGTTTCAAAGTTTATGCACGTGCTGTGCTATTACTTACTAAGTTCTAACTTCGTTCTTGATTACTTATCTCTCAAGGCTTATTTTTTATAATACACAGGCATCTCCTTGTCCTCTTTAGTTTTTTATATGTCCTTCGACTTGTTGACTTGTTATATGTCCTTCAACTTGTGTACTCTTATTTAACTCTTAAAATCTTCATTTTCAATTATATCTTATTTAATTATTGTTATAATATTCAAATTCATAGAAGCAATGGATGAAATTTCCTCAAAAATTTCCCTTTGCTTCAACTATAAGTTACGTATATTTTTAAAAACAAACTTAATATAAACAACGTTCATAATAAAATAAATACATAACAACAATTTCGTTACAGTGATGATGACTAGCTGCCTTCCTTCTAGTCTTACACTACTAAATTATGGATGACTAGTGCAGATAGCCCTCGTGTAGCTTTGCGCGAAATTCAGAAACAAACGAACAAACTCAATGTTACTAACACGAAACGCCAATGTACAAGGCCAAGATAGAGGATGTTTGGCCTCGATTCTTTAGCACTGTAGAC